GATGACGCCCCTGCACGTCGCAGGCGGGGTGTCGTAGCCACCGTCTGCGAGCCGGCCGTCATCGTCGGCCGCGCGCCGCCTCTTCTTCTTGCGCTTCTTGCGCTTCTCGCCCTCGGCACGCGGTGCCTTCGAGGCGAAATCAACTTGCCCCGCGCCGATGCCCCCGACGCTCCCGCCCCACCCCCACCGTCAAAGTCGCATCGAGGGGCTCGTGAGGGGGTTGCCGGTGGGGGGTCGTCTGCGGGGGGGTGCCAGGGCGGGGGGGGGGGCGTCCATGATGCAGGGCGAGGGGGCAGGGCGAGTGGGCTTTCGGGGGGCGGGGGGGGCAGTGCGAGGAGGGCTTTGAGGGGTCGACTCTGACGATGAGGGGAGCGAGAGCGTTCAGGCATCGGCAGGGGGCACGCTGGTTGCGCCCCTAGCGGCGCACGGGGTGGCGCCATGTCCTCGGCGCTGGCCGCGCCGATGTCCGCGGCGACGTCGATGCCGTCCGTGCCCTCGGCGCGCGTCGCCGCCACCTCGGCGCCGACGCCGTCCGTGCCCTCGCTGCCGCCGCCGCCGCCACCTCGGCGGTCGACCGTGGCGCTGCCCGCGGCGTCGCTGCCCTTGGCGATCGTCAGCCCTGGCAGCGCCATCATGCCACCCTTGCCGCCCTTGCCGACGCCGCCCTTGTCGACGCCGCGCTTGCCGATGCCCGCGCTCAGGCCGAGCTCGGCGGCGATCGACTTGCCCTTGCCGCCGCTCAGTGGGGCATCATCGCTGCTGCTGACGGCCACCACAGCATTGTCACGCTCTCTCTCCTCCCAGCGCCCGCTCTCCTGGTGCCGCTCCTCGTCGGCTAGCTGCCGCTGCAATGTCTCGCTCGCCTCGAACTCCTGTATCTTCTGGAGGTCGGCCTCGTGCTCCAGCGCCTTCTGCTCCAGCGCGTGGAGCTCCGCGACGCTGGCGCCGTGGCCTGGCAAGCGAAACAGAGAGAGGGAGGATCAGGATGACGATGCCGACGACGCCGACGACGAACATGGAGGAGGATAAGGAGTAGGAGGAGGATGAGGCGGATGAGGAGGAGGATGAGGAGGAGGAGGAGGAGGAATAGAATGAGGAGGAGGAGGAGGAGGAGGAGGAGGAGGAGTAGGAGTAGGAGGAGGAGGAGGAGGAGGAGGAAG